CCTCCCCACACCTCCGCACACCTCCCCACACCTCCCCACACCTCCAGGCGAACACGCCGCGCGGCACGCCCGCCTCGTGGACGACGCCGTACCTCAGCGTGGCCACCGAGGTGGCGCGCGGGATGGCGTACCTTCACAGCCACCGCGTGATCCACCGCGACCTCAAGCCGGGCAACGTGCTGCTCAAACTGCCGATGATGACTGCCAAGGTGGCAGACTTTGGCGCGTCGCGCGAGAACATGCAGCCCGCCCCCTCCGCCGGCTTGCACGCGGGCGCCTTCTCGCTCGAGCGAGCGAGCGCGGCGATGACCATGTCGATGGCCGGCACGCCAGTCTACATGGCGCCCGAGGTGCTCCGGCAGGACCGGTACGGCAAGCCGTGCGACGTCTGGTCCTTTGGCGGGCTGCTCGTCCACATCGCGACCCGCCGGCCGCCCTTCGCCGCGCTGCTCGAGTCCGGCCACCTCTCGCCGCTCGACCTTCTCAACAAGGTGACCAAGGGCGAGATGCGGCCGACCTCGAACCCCGGGGGGCAGCCCGGCGCGCTTTGCTTCGCGCCGGCAGAGTGGCCGCAGGCCGTCGCGCAGCTCGCCGAGGCGTGCTTCGCCTTCGACCCGCTCGAGCGGCCCACGTTCGAGGAGGCGGCGGACGTGCTCCTCCAGGCGTGGCCCTCCCCCCACACACTCACACGCACACGCACCACCCACGCGTTACCGGGCCTAGCACGTTGAATGCCGTGGGGCTCACGCCTCTCCTAGACGTGGAGCCGCGAGGGTTGGCCTGGCCATTGCCCCGCCACCTTGTGTGTGGCGAGACGTTCACCTTACCCTACCTTACCTTGCCTCACCTCCAGGCGAGGCTCGAGGCGTCCATCCAGGGCCAGGTCGACCTGAGCCGGAGCCTCCGCGCGATGATCTCGCCCGCCGGCACGCCAAGGAGTCCAAGGAGCCCAAGGTGTTCTCCGCCTGCTCCGCCCGCTCCGCCTTCTCCGAGCCCGTATGAGGCGAAGCCGGCAAAGGCGGCGGCGGAGAAGGCGGCGGCGCAGGCGGAGGAGGAGGCGAAGGAGGCGGCGCAGGCGGAGGAGGAGGCGACGCCGGTCGGTGCCCGCAAAGCCGTCAAGCCGGTGGGTGAGCGGTTACATCGCGGCGCGGATGCTGCGGACGAGGGCGTTGTGATCGAGGCTCGCGAGCTGAACCGGAGCCTGCCTCCCCCGCCCCCGGCGCAGCCCGTGGCTGCGGTTGCTGCTAGCGCGGCCAGAGACAGCAGCGCGAATGGCGGATCCACGTGCGAGAGTGCGTCAAGCGCGAGTGGACGGACTCTGGGTTGCTAGGGCGGCCCTCGCGCCCTTTCAGAATATGTGCATGTGAGACTCTCGGTCAAGCGTGTGTGTGTGTGTGTGTGTCGTCTGTGTGAGCACAATTCAGAATTCTGTGCGTTGCGCGTGGGTGTGAGGGAGTGAGTATTCTTGATACGAAACCACGACGACACACACCAGTCGAGACTCGCATCTCGGTTGCCTCCAGGAAACAACACTCAACAGTCAACACACACACACACGCTTTAGGTTAGGTTAGGTAGGAAGGTGAAGAACGTGCGCTTGGGCCTCACCTGATCATGCTGAACAAGCTCCTCTTGTAGCTCGATCGGTCACACCGTCTTCGCCGCCGACGTCTCCCAGTGAGATGATGGAGAGGGGGGACGACACTGTACTCGATCTACCCTCTGGGGTCCCTCAGCAGCGTGCACCTCGATCCTGTACCGTGTTTGTTAGGAACCCCCCCAATGAACACACCAGTGAGGGAGGGCGAGACGATCGAGGGGTCCCGTACCATGCGGAATCGACCCTATCCAGTGCTCACCAGTGCTCAAGGTGAAGAACAGCCAGGCTCGGACTGGATGGACACCAACGCGGTATGGGTGGACGCTGGACAGATGATGACGACACGCACGAGCGACACACAATTTAGACGTATTTTTCTTTTTCTTGCGACGCCCTATTAGCGAGCTCCTTCACTCAACACTCAAGAGCCGCCCTCCAAGGAGTTCGTCAACCTTTCGCTGAACATCGCCCGTCTGCAGCCCAGCGGCGATGGTTCTCCTCCACCAGCAATGGGAAGCGTCTATGTACGCGTCGGGTCGGCGCAGCAATGGCGAGATTGACACGGAACGCATGAACGCTCTGATCGCCGACTTGATGCGCGAGCGCTGGGGTGACTGGTTTCATCGTGTACACAGAGAGTATCTGCAGCCTATGATGTACCTTTCATGGGATCTCGTTTTCGTTCTACCTCCGAACTGCCTGCTTCTTCTCGTACTCCTGTGCTCAGCTTCCGCTCTTGCATGAGATTGGTACGTGGAGTGTCACGCCGCTGCGGCCCGGTGTAGGGAGGGCCGCTCGCGCATGTCAGCATGTCCATTAGAAGTACCTGCCCACCAGCTCTTACTGTGCATTAAATAAACTCTGTTGCCTCTCCACACCCCGAGCGTCGAGTCCCCTTGATTTTGATGTACGCCCTGCATACTCCCCGAGCCGCCGCCATCGGCATCGCAAAGTCTTACCGCCCCACACGCGTCACGCCGCTGCCAGTGCGCAGTGGCAGTGCGCAGTGGCAGTCAATGCCCACACCAACGCATCCCGTGTGCCAGTTTATTCGTGACTCCCAAAACACGTGGATGCGACGCAGGAATGCAGTTTTGCGACGGTGTATCATTCACTTTATGCCACCGTTGCATATCCGGATATGCAACG